TTAACTTTAGCTCCTGAACAGACCAGCTACAAGTTTTCTTCTACACGTGCACACGCTGATTGAATGCAAGACTGAAGGATGTCGGTCACAAAAGGTTTCTGTTTCACAGTCTGTGAGAAGGTGCGAGGAAGAGCGGTCAGCTTTCTCTCAGCTTCCCGGTGGCTCGGGGAAACATGTTTGTCTGCAGAGCTGCTGTGCTAATCCATAGCCCTGCAGAGGCACCCAGGGAGCCATCCTCCCTGCCAGCATGCAGCCCTCCCTCCTGCAGGCAGCTGAACTGATCGCGTTTCAAACGTGACTGAAGCAGTGCTCTCCAACCTGGGACCACTCACTTCACAAAGGAACCTTAACATCCTTATCCCAGTACCTCCTCCAACATAAAACCCACCACCAAAAAGCAGGCAGCAGTGCATTATGGCAGTGAGGTCTGGAATCTTTTGCAAGGCTTATGTCTCCCTTGAAGAAAGCCTTTCCTTCTCCAAAAGACTCTGCCAAATCTAGAGACAGCATTCTCAGTCAGCCAAGCAATGTGATGGGCAGATGCACACAGAACTGCCAGTGCTACTTTTGGAAGGCACTTTAGGTAACCTGTGAGATGACTGACAAGATGAAACAAACTGACAAAAATTATTAATGAGGACACACTCAGCCTTGGCCTCTCTAGGTTTTTTTTGAGGCATCGTAAGAATTCAGTGAAAAACCACACGTGGCATTCCTTAGCAGAATGAACACAGCTCATAACAAATCTGCATTTTCTGGAGCAGAAGCTTCAACATTTGGTGGTGTTCCTAGTGAAAATGAAGTCTATTTTTAAAACCTCCCACTGTTTACATGTTTTAGAAAGAAACATGTTTGAGTAGACAGCTTTTAACAAGCTGTCAAGTTAGAATTAGTAACTAATCTGTTAGCAGCTTAGGAGAGAAATAAGCATCCAGGAGCCACTAGATGGTCACCGGTAACGTGACTGAGCAAAATTATACAGGAACACGTTGACCACCTGTAGTTTTGGTCTCCCTGTGGCAGAAAAAGGAACTGACAAGTGGATAGAGCTGTTGTGTTCCTTGCTCCTCTTCAGAGGCTGGGAGGCAGCACAGGATGCAGTGGACACAGCTTTCAAATCACCTTTAATGTGGGTTCACTTCCCCCTGTACAGACCTGAAGAGCTGGTCCAGCAGCTGAAAAAACCTGAACCCTTTACATGTAAGACAAAGCAAAATCACCATCCTAGCCAGGCACAGTTACCTTTGGTGGACGGCCTCTTCTTCTTTCCTGTGACTCTCCCTGAAGCTTCTCAATTAAGGGAATAGCAAAAGAGAATGTTTTCCCTGTTCCAGTTCGTGCTTGAGCAATGACATCCTTGCCAGAATACACTGGGTTGAAGGTCTTCACTTGCACAGGGAACAGGTACGTCACTCCTCGAGCTGTGACAATTTCAAGAGATTTCCTTAATATGGTCATTTTACAAGTGTTCTTTCACACTCTTCAGTGGAAATTATTGCAAGAAGAACTTCCATCAACTCCAAAGTAAGTCAGGACTGTATCATCACCTCCACTGAATTATTTGATCAGATGAGTCATCTGCAAAGAGTGCCCTGGGACTGCTCATTTTATTCTCCCACTTCACACCACCAGACACAGAGCTAGCTGGGACAGAGGAAGTTATCAGCCTTTATGAAAGACTGTCAGCACTGTGCCTTTATTTATGCAGTACTCCTCAACTATCCAGGAAAATCTCTTCCTTTCAAATAATTCACATCTCAAAACCCCTTCTGTTCTTAATTCATACTAATTCATGTACGAACAAACACCAAAGACACTAAATATAATTGGTTTTCCTCTATTCACACCAAAATAACCTTTAACTGAAAAATTCTCACACATTATTTTTCTTCCTTGGCTCATGTCATTTAGAAATTTATTGCAAAGGCTGAACTGGACAACACTGCAAAGTGTGTGTTCAAAGGTGTATTTAGAGCAGGCAATCAATGTCTTCTGCACAGCATCCATGCTTGTATGGGCACGAGCAGAGCACATCTCAAAGCTTATTGATCCAGGGTGTTTGAGCATAAAAACACAACAGAGATCACTGACATTCTACGGTCACACCTTGCCTAAAAACTTACCTTGAAGAAGCTGGACAGTTTCTTTGGAAATAGAAAAATTGGAGAAAGCACCCTCCTTCTGTTCTCCAGTCAACTCCTGTTAGGTAAACAAAAACTCAGGTAAGATTTCACGTGAATATTACATGACTGCCAGTAAATTCAAGGTAATTCAAGTAAATTCAGCACAGGCATTGGTGTCATACTCGCCAGTGACAGTGTCACAGCTGCAGCTAAAGAGCCTTCTTTGTTTTAACATCGTATTTCAAACTTGGACAAAGTTAGCAAAAGTGATCTGGAGGTTAAGGCTGTTTCATACCTAACAGCACAGTAAATGCAAAACACTCAAACCAATACTGAAAACAATGAATTAGAGTATCATGAGTTGGAAGGGACCCACAAGGATCACCAAGTCCAGCTCCTGGCTCTGTAAAGGACAACCCCAAAAATCACATACACCTCGTGATGCTGAATCATATTAAAGCCCCATCTCAGTGCAATCTGTCTGTCCAGCAACAGCTACCACAGCACCAGGCTGCTGAAGTGAGGAAACCATGACGCACTTTCATAATTCAAAACTCTTGCAAATTCCTGGCAGACTGAACAATTCAAAAACTTCAGATCTTGACATTTCACAGCACCTTCGACAGACTAGGAAGGGGGGGAGGGAATGGAATACAAGCCCTCCTACACGTGGCTGGGTTACAATGCAGGAGTTAAAAGCCACAACACATCACTATAACTAAAACCAGTCCTTAGCTTTACCTGATCCTGCTCGCTCTCGCTTTCGCTCTCACTTGACGTTTCACTAGAACTACTCTGCCGGCTTCTGCGGGACGATTTGCTGCTAAGGGAGGACAATCTCGATTTCTCCAGGCTTTCCTCTTTCGTGTGACCGTTCTGTTTACTGACACTCTTTGATTTCTTGGGTTTCGGGGCATAACGCTCCTCATCGGATTCCTCGCTGTCATCTGTCTGAGTCTTTCCCCTCTGAAACTTGTCCCGGCGTTTAGATTTCTTCTCCTTTTTCTCCTTCTGACAAGGCACAGAGCAAATGAAAACACACGCTCGTGGATCCAAGCGACACGGAACAGAGAAGAGGGCGCAGAACAGTTAAAGCTTCAAGTGCACGTTCTAGTTACTGACGGGGGCGGTGGCTGACACAAGGCAACAGATCCCTGCCGGCCGCCGCCGCTCAGGAGACACGTTACCGACCACGAGACAACCGGGCCTTCGCTCTGGGGGCTCTGCCCCGTTCCGGGTGCCGGGGAAAGCGCTTCCCGGGCTCCCGGCCGGCTCGGGCAGGCCCAGCGCGTCCGGCGGGGCCGCCCCCACACGCGGCGAGGCCGCGGCCCGGCCCGCCCGCGCACGTGGCCGCCCG